ATGAAGGTAATGCTGTTCAAATATCCACTGATCCTAAAAAAAAATGTGTCTGATCAACTAACAGATAACGGATCCATGGAAAGCTTCCTGATAATCACAGGCACATTCCCCATCACTTCCCCATGGGCTTCGTTAAAAGATGGGTTGCCATTTGAAAACACACACCAACCTGTGATTAACAGCTCTCACCTGTGCCGGGGGGGGGGCAGAGCAGGGCATGCCGAGCGCGTGCCGGCCAGGTGGTGCCACGTGGTGCAGGTGGCCGGCAGCGTCCCAGGCATCGGGCACACACACATTTGCTCTATAAGACGCACAGACATTTCCCCTTACTTTTGAGGGGAGGAAAAGTGCATCTTATAGAGTGAAAAATACGGTATGTTAGTATGTGTAAGCAATTTCATTTTACCCCCTTCCAGAAAGCAGTGGATCATTCTATTTGCCACAGAAGCTTCCATGCAGTTGCATTTGACTGCTTTATTCCCAGAGTACTGCAAAGTTCAAATGTAATGAAGTATGCTTATCTCCTCCATGATACTCACACAAGAGGATTTGAAAAAGACTTTACCCTTTATGGCACTGATTATTCTTCCAATGTGCCGTAGAAGATTGAAAAGATTAAGATTCCACAGCTCATCATAATTTTCCATGTTATCAAAGCTGGTCTCACCCTTGCACAAAATGATCATTTGGATAGCACACATGGCTTCCACAAAATATAAATATAAAGCCTCTCTATCACTTGACATCCCAATTTCCTGAATATGATACATATTTCCTTACTCAGTCCCATGAGGGAACCAGGGAATTTCAGCTTCTGGACTCTACACTAGCCTGTCAGAAGACTCAAATTACAGTGAACATGGATGCATTTCTACACAAAGGAAAATGGAGGGAAGGATGAATAAGATTTTTATGAAGAACACTTGCCCCATACCTTATAAGGGAATGAGGGTTGACATGTGAATCATCAGAATCAGAACTCAAACATTTAATGCAATTTATATGCATGGAAGGAAATGTATTTTTAAAAATTTTCTCTAATACATACTTCCCATGTTTGTTATAATTTGAAGCAACACACAACACAAGTGATTGGCTTTTGCATGAATCACCTGATGTCTAGCATTCAAAACTATATCAAAATGGAAAAGGTAAAAACAAAAACAGAATTAATGCTAGGGTCCTATGCATACTTACACGGGAGTAAGTATACAGTAGGATGTACAACTACAAAAACATCTCAGAGGCATCCTGCCACTAACAATCAGAAAGAACAGTGCAGCAATTCCAACCTTTTTCCAGGGTTTTCTATGATAAGGGAAAAGACCGTGGGAAAATGTAGGTTTATGGGCGGCAGATGACATTGTCTGCCCTCACCCCACCCTGCTGTATTCAGTTAATGAGTCAGGGTGAGGGCGCTATAAAGGCCTCATATGGAATTATGATAAGCGAATGGTGAAGCAACCTCATTTAGAGGCAGGTTGTTTCCATTGCTGCATGGTCCTACATTTTTCAGTAAAAATCCACTAATGTTTTAAATTTACAAAACAAGATTTCTTAAGGCATGACTAATTTGTCCTGAATCTGCACTCTTAATTAAAATCATTAGCAGCCTGATGGATTTCACCAGCAACCAGCAAGTATTAGGTGATCCATCAGAAATTGGGCCATGTTCTAGTTTTGGAGCTGGAACTACTTTCTAATGATCCCTGACCTGGTGAGCACAAGGCTGAAGTCAGATCAAGAACATTACGAGGCATATGTCACACTTTTATCAATAATGTCACATCATGTGTGAAAAAGCATATTGACAGCATGAAAAGATCTCATACCATTATCAGGGATGAGAATGGAGAGCAGGCCAACTACTCACACATTGCTTGCCTTGAATGTAGAAATGTTTGAATCCACATTCAAAACTGCAGTTCTGTGCTCCCTTGTTAGTAACTGACATGTTCACAACTAGCAATTTGCAATTGATTCTCGCTGTAATAGTGATAGAACAAAAAGAGAGAGCTTGAAAATTGTCTACTTTTTTTTCTTTTTTTGCTCTCCCATGCTCAAATACCTTGAGTTTTTCCATGCCAATGGCATTTGGCAATTATAATCACACAGTAAAATACCTAAGGTTAATGAGTAACCTCAAAAGGAAGTTACTTCACATAATGACAGCAATTTCTCTGAACTAAATGTTAATAATAAGGCCTGTAATACGGTAAGAAGGAAATGGTGGCAATTGGCAAATGGAACTCCGTTGCCTAGTAACAAGTCCTTAAGGTATGAGCTTGCTCTTTTTCTTTATTTCTTTTTTTAAGAGCAGCAAGGAAAACATTTCCAGCCTGAGCTGATCATGGAAGGTACACACTTTATAACACATTTTGCTCCTGAGCAAGCAAAGAATTAGGAGAAATTGCTTTAGTGTTATTAGCTATTATTTCAACACTAAACATAAAGTTAAAAAACCATAAATATATAGAGTAAGACCATCTTATTACCAGTATCACCTAGTATTATGACACTTAGCCATAAGAATGCTCCATTGGCATCTATGTGGTAACTAGTCTATGAGACTTACTTCTGGGGTAATGAGTGTACTGTTAGCATTTGACAATCAGCAAAGAGAGGCAAAAAGAAAATGCAAAAATGTCACTACAAGCCACTTTCAGTGCAGCACGTTTGTGCTAGTAGCATTAAACAATGGAACATGATGCAAAGACCTAGACTGCACCCTTTTTAGACAGAAAGCAGAGGGGCTGTACAATCACCAGCACTTCAGCAAGGATTCAGGAGGCTGCCTCACTGATTCAGACAGACATAATGCCCTGCAGCCATGACAAGTGTATGCTAAAAGTGAAGCCACACCTTCCAAAGAACTGAGAGCTTTTAACCCTGCCAGCTACCTGCTAGTGACAAAGTGTTTTGAGTCCCCCATATAGTCGGAAAACTCATACAAAGGAAGACTTCACAATATTTCCCTTCTTAATGAAGTCATTCTGCTAAACCCTGAGTTAGAACATCAGGTACAGATAAACGCAGCATAAATTGTCCATGCACAAAGCCAACTCACCAAAGATGAAGCATCATTCAGAAGGGTGGTGAGAACTTTTTATTTTTTTAACAGAAACACAGACCGATCCCATTCTGTAGAGTGCTACAAGAGCATTTTGGACAGCTCTCTGAAAATGTTGATCAGGTGCACAGCTGCTGTGAAAAGGAGACTCCAGGGGGAAAAAATGAACATTAAACTGCCAAGGTCATACACCTTATACGAATCTATGGTGCATCCACACTTCGAATATTGCATATAGTTCTGGTCACTACATCCAAAAAGGAGACATTGTAGAGTTGAAAAGAGTGCAGAAAAAGTCAGCTAAAATGATAACTGATCACAGGGCTAGAACAACTCTCCTATGAGGAATGTTACATCTGGGACAGCTTATCTTAGAGAACATAGGAGCCAGGAGAAGCATGACTGAGGTGCACATGTGGTGAAAATGGGTAGGGAGACATTCTTCCTTCTATCCCATAATATTAGAACCTGGTGTCATTTCATGAAGCTTATTCAGGACATATTGAAGTTAGTACTTCTTCATGCAATGCATAGTTAAACTATGGGATTGGCTTCCATGAGATATAATCAAGGTCACCGGTCAGATGGCTTTAAAAGGGAATTAGGCAAATTCATGGAGGAGAAGGGTATCAGTGGCTACTTGTTCTGAAAGCTCTATGCTACTCCCAGTATCAGAGCCCATATGCCTATGACACCAGCTGCAGGGTAACATAGAAGGAGCAGTGTTCTTGCACTCACCTCCGGCTTACGGGTTTCCTGTAGGTCAGTGATTGGCCATAAAGTGAACAGAATACTGGACTAGATGGGCCAGTGTATCTAGAAACAAATAAGTAGATAAATCCTTTTCGTTTAAGATAAAACCTTGGAAATACCACTGTGATAATCAAGCTGTATTCATTGGTAAGTATGCATAAAATTAAAACCTGCCATCTCAAGTCTATGGCTCCTGAGGGACTTTCAGATGCCATGATTTAGTAGACTTCCTTTCTCACCTGCAGGTAGAGGAGAAGGGCAGTCCTCACAGGGTTCTTCATTGCAGGCACAGAAACCTCTGCTGCTTTTGTTGCTCTGACAGTGATGCTCCAGTGGGGGAGGGTTCTGAGAACATGATGATGAAAAATTGGTGAAGACACTGGATCCATTGGATCTAAAGTTCTGCTATTTTGTCCTGTGCAGTAGTCTGAAACTGGCATACCTGTTCTCTTTCTAATCCTTCTCCCCAGCTTTCAGCCTAGGTTTAGTGATTCCTCCAGCTCAGGTTTTTCTTTCCTAGCCACCTTTAGAGTTCTCTAAAGTATACAATCGTATGCATACTTCTTTTAGTGAACACAGTGGGGCTTAGTGATGACCCACCCATGAAGCAATTAATGAAGGTTGTTTGTGAATTTTTGGCATTTTCAGCTTTGTGTTCCAAATATGCTTCAGTGTTAGCATAATGCTTGCAAATGCAGCATTTGTTAGACTCTAAGTTTTGACATGCTGTTTTTACAGCATTGCAGTCTTTTCTGCTATTGGAAGTATGCATTGAAGGTAATCAGTCATACTGACTTACAATCCATCTTTATAAATACTTATCAGTAAATAGATCTGATACACAGGGCCGGAAGGGAAGGAAACGTCCTATTTTGCCAAAACAATGGACTGTTGCCTTAGCATCTGTATCTGAAATACTGTAGCTCTGTAGGTATGTCTTGTTTAGCAAGAATTCTTGTGTTTACTGGATGGCACAACATCACTTCAAAAAGGGCTTGTCTGTCATCTAACTGCTCATGGTGTGATACTGCCAGTACTTTTCTTAATCATGCATTTTGGCAATCTCCAGTAGTTGCCCTTTTAGGGGGAAGAGGTTATTTTGAATAAGCTATGAACACTTAAATATTTACTGCTATTCTTTAAATCACCTACTTCTTTCCTGGAGGTTTACACACTGACAACATAAATGGATCCTCTATACTCTTTTAAAATGAAATGACCCAACTTTTTAGCTGCTAACTTTAAAAAGGTGTTTAGATCCTTTGAACATTTTGGTAGCTCTGTGATATCCTTTTAAAAACTAGAAAGTGTGCACTAGAACTCTGCACAATATTATATGCACAATATTATATTACAATAAGTGACAATCCCAACAAAGTTTTTAAAATGGTTTATTATTTATTTTATTTTAAAATATTGTATTTCTATCCTACCATTCCTTGCAAGAAGCCCATTTTGTCATTTTACTTGCGATTTCTCACAAAGAATTACCCTTTTTACAGATGCACGCTGAGTTGTCATTTTTAGCAAGCTGCTATTGTAGAGTTACACTGCAGGAAGAGTGGATAGTTCTCATGCATGTGTTTACAGGGAGTGGTTCAGTGAAAAAGGGTTCAAATATCATACAACCACAGGATGTTCATTGTTCTGAAACCAAAACAATACAATACTTCTTAGTTAAAAGTACCCCAGATTCATCAAAAGCATCTAGATCAATTTCCATTGCTACCTTCACAGGAACCCAAATTTGTAACTGGCACTTCTTCCTGTGATATGCAAGAAGCTTCCCCGTGTAATCATCACACTGAGGTAACTTCACTGAGTGAACTCATGCTAGCTCCAGAATTAGAGACATTGAGCCTAAGGATGGTGCAAGTGTAAATACAGTTTATGCACAGAACTGCAAATTTAAAAGTCTTAAGTAAGTACAGGTGTTTTGTGGTTGCTACTTGCTGATCTGGCAGCAGTTGTGAGTCATTTGATCAGAAAGCCCATCTGCAAAGATCTAAAAGATAAATGCTTTGATTGTCTGGCCTTTATATTTGTCTGGCTCCTCTTCACTCATTCTTGTAAACTGACAAAGCCTCCAAGTAGTAAGAGAAACCTATCCAAGCCATGCTGTTTCACAGATGTGTATATGCTGAGCTAGCTCAATGTGTAGCTGATAGTTTGATTAACTGTTCCTAAAGGAAGTAGCAGGCTTCATATTCTTACAGTTAAGAGGTACAAATTCATTTTTTTAAAAAATAAACAGTGGTAGTAAGGCTTTCTTGGTGTGATTCTTGATTGCTAGCTTACAAACAATTATACCCACTCCCCCAGCGACTTCTGTGGCGGTGTCCATATCTAGGGTGAGCAAGAGTTGTGTTGGGTGGGGTTAGGGGATGGAAAGGCTAGTTGTTGTAAAAGAAAACATGGGTAGTCCTGGGATAATTAGGCTCATACATAGTTCAAGATCTTCAGTGATCTCAGCATCAGAAGTAGGAAAGCATCTCTGGAAAGCAAAGTAAGATTCACAGTCTAAAAGCAGTGGGGGTCCAGAACCACCACATTGCTAGCAATATGGGAAACAGAAATACTCACTTGAGTATCTAAATGTATGCACAGGTTCAAAGACAAATATCATCTCAGTAGTACAGGAAGAAGCAAGTACAATTGGAGTCTATTTATGGCAGGCACATCTAACACTGTACCACAAATGACAGATGGTAACTTAAATCCTTTCACAAGTTAAAAAAAAAAAGTGTGGCCGTCATCCCTGCCATTTGCCATCTGATTAAACTGTCTGTAGGTATTATGGATGCCTGTATATTGTAGCTTTCTGTTTAAAAAAAACAAATGTGTGTGTGAAAACCTCTACTCATGAGACAATGGCAACTTTAGAATGCAGCATGCTAGGTTTCTGAAGAATCCAATCTGAAGGATTAACTACACCATGTGGTATGTGAAAAAGAGTAAGATTGGGAAACCTTGTACATTCCACACAAAGATAAAGTCTGGCATGGATAAAATCAGATATCCCTCCTGTTTCTATCAAACATCCTTTGGGTTAAGGGCACAGATTCCACCTTGTATAATCTTCAGAAGAAAACAGAATCTTAATATTGCTGCCAAGGTCTACGTCAGAATAGGAAAACAATTCTAACTAGGTACCAAGTTGCATTCAGCTTTCAATAAGTAATTTGCTAGTTATATGAATATGCATTGCTGGATTTTTTCCATGATGTGTAAATAGATGTGCCCATCAAGTATTAATCTGCATTATATTGGAAGTTAACTATGGATTATTTAACAACCCATAGACTCAGTATGGAGAACAATTTAGTCATTTGCCAAGTACCTGTGGGTGCAAAATCCAACCCCCAGCTGGGGGATTCTCTTGTGGTGCAAACCCAGTGATTGAGGGTTGTGCAAGGATTGTTTAATCCAGACACAATTCATACTTACCAGGGTTGCACAGCTCATCATTAAATAATAAATGGTGGGCTGTAATGTCATAAAATCAGACTCAGAGTGTCCGGGTTTTGATAGCAGGATTTTTGTGAACTGCATCTCCCAACATGCTTACAGGCACATGTGGTGAGTTTTTGAGCAGGCAGTGCATTGGTACCTATCACATGGTTGTATAATTTCCTTTTTTCCACATTTAGGTACATCCAGTGCCTTTTTTGTAAGAAAATAGGTGCCGGAACTCACATTTTGTTAATCTTTTATTTAAAAAATTATATATTCAGTTCTTAACATAAATTTAATTTATTGTATTTAAGGCAAATGTCCATAGTAAATTCCAAAGTTTTGTCCAATTCTCGTCCGACAAACCTTCTCGACTCCTTTCCCTGCTGTTAGTATCTATGTGTTCTGTCATTGTGTCTGTTAATATTTTGGTTTTTTTATTAGCAGGACCGGTGGTTGAGAAGTAATTAGTAATTTTTTTCATTTTTAAATTTGGGGTCATACTTTTACACTAAAAATTAAAAAAAGATTTTCAATTCACCAACTTTTTTTTAAATTAAGAAATTATTTACCTTTCGCTTGTAGTCAATCACTGTACACACACCCACACACATCAGTTGTGTAACAAAACATTATGGTCACCGCCTGCAGTAAGCACTCAGCACGCAACCACACGACCAATCACAAGCCACACAGCGCCACAAGCCAAGCAGCGTCATCACAACCACGCATGCATCGGACTCAACACACAAGCAGCCCGCATGCACCATTTTAATGATTTTGCAGCCGACCTGCTATGCTCGACGGGACGATTCAAATCCACGTGGACCAAACATCAAATTTTCAAAAGTTACTTTTAAAACTTGGAAAATCCATCAAAAAAAGGTGCTGGAAATCCGTTCCGGTGCGTTCTATGACAAAAAAAGCACTGGGTACATCTATGCAACTCATACCATATTAGATATCTAAGTATCAACTGTGGAAAGACGGGACCACTTTTATGCCCAACCAAACCCACCCACTCGCTCACATATACTGCTACTAGGTTATAATAAAATAAATCATTTACAAAAGTAAAGTATGGATCACAGAAGTCGCTGAAAATATCATAAGCACAAAGAAAGCTCTGGCATGGATTTCCCATGGGCAGTTGTGGATTTCCCATGGGCAGCTGTTTGGCCACCGTATGAACAGAGTGCTGGACACTTGGTCCAATCCAGTGGGGAGCTTCTGATGCCCTTAACTAAAATGCAAGATGGAGCTTCACTGTTCCTTCGTGCCACTGTGCTTAGCCACTGCAGCAAATAATTACTAACATCCCTTAGATTGCTGGAAGTCTAATGGAGACAATGAGACCAGCCAAAGGTAGATTGCCAGCTATCTATTAAGGAGTCTTGATGCTTTCATTGTAGGCTTTACACTCTAAGCATGCTTGAATGGTAAAGAGTAAATGTTCTAACTGCAGCAATTTATGTGCTGTCAAAACATTCTGGTCTACTCTGTAGGACTGTTTGGTGGAGAAGGATTAACATCAAAGGATTGTACATTTCCACCACCCTCACACTACTGTAACACCCCCTGCCTGAAAACTAGTGCTGGAAGAAAGGGTGGAGAGAGGGTGAGAAATGTCAAAACACTGTGGGTATATGGGCCTTGAAAAGTGACTGGCAGATTTATATTTTTAATACATGTTATGATGTATTCTGTGTTCAGAGCTCAGTTGTTGGATTAGTTTAGTTTTATAGGATATTGGATGCACTATGCTTTTACCTGCAGACATTATGCTGATTTGCAATTGTTCCTATTGTATTTTGGAACTTACTCCACACTCTCCATGGTGGCTCTCCATGTCAAATTATGGAGAGCATATGTCAGTGAATGGATTTTCTGCAACTACTCTATGTAACAACATGATACATAATATCAAAAAAGGTAATCATAATATCAAAGAAAGCATCTAATGAAGATCAGCGACATATTCAAAAGCCCACCACACTATAATTTGATGTCTGCAGGTATTGGCATTTTGAAATCCCTGCAAATTAACAACCTATAGGTTTGCCTTACAAAGTCCATGCTGCAATAACATGATGGTAAAGAAACACATTGTGAGACTAAATGCTACCAAAATGGCGCTGCTGAAAAGAAGACATCTAGAAGACATGAAAATGGACCACAATTGGGAAAGATGTTTGATTCATCTGCCTTTTCCATAAATGAAATTAAAGTACTTATTCTTCAGTTAAAGATCATTCCTCTATTTAAGCTATTTTGATTTTAAAGTGTTCATCACTTTAATCATCACCTCTCTTTGAGTACAGCGGAAAGTTAATGTTTGATGGACCTGGTCCTGAGCTCTATTTTTTCTCTCTGCCTTGCTAACAATTCTTTTGAGTGACACCAAGTCTAAGCATGGTCATGGTTAAGTGCATTCAACAACAGCTGGGAAAATGGGTCACTTGTTGACAGCTGACTAACCCCATTTCAGAGTGAAAGCAGGATGTGTTCCAATGGTTTGACATCCAAAAGAATTTTTTTCCTTCAGTAACTTACAATGCATTCTCTAGGGAACGACAAATTTTCTCATTTCCAGCTCTTGTCAAAGCAGCCAAAATAACCACTTCTAGGAAATTCTCATCATACTCTGGGATCCAATGGTCCTGTCTGTTCACTCATATACAAGCAAATATACTCAGGCATTTTAAAGGGCCAGCAGGAACTTTGATCAAATAAATGCCTGCATCAGACTCCCCTCAAAGCTTTATTTCACCATTTCTTAAGCAATCCAAACAGGGTCAGTGACAAACCATAATGGGAAGAGCTGCACACCAAATAAAGCTTTGAATTGTACAGGGATTACAGGTGGGGAAAGGGAGAAGAAAGAGGCCACTTCCTAGTCTTTGCTTAATATTCAGGTTCACTCTTAGGTGCCAATGTACTTTCTGGTGGGCATCCCTGTGTGTTATCACATCATGTGTGATGACATCTTGATGCCAGGCAAAGCTCCACCACCTGATTATTAGGCAGCTCTTAAAAGCACAGGAGGCTGATGGGTTGGGGTGGATGTGGCAAACCAACTCCCAGGCAACAGCTGAAAAAGCATGACCTGATCCAGACTCCACACACACACACACACACACACACACAGAGAGAGAGAGAGAGAGAGAGAGAGAGAGAGAGAGAGAGAGAGAGTTGGCCAATGACTTGTCCAAGACTGAACAAGAAAATCTATTTAAAAAAAAAAAGATTTGCCACTATCTTATATCATTGGTAAA